CCAATTTACCCAATTACTGGCAGCTCTGAAACCCAGACTTCATAGAATAGGGAGTGGTCTTCCAAGGTTCTTTTCTCATCTCATGCTATTTCTCAGCCATCAAAAGGACTCCATGAGCACAATAAGGAGGCCTGTGAACTCACACCCTAATTACCTCTCATTCTTAAGAAAATTCTTACAACAGAGACTATGGATCTTAAGGTATCTTATTAAACATGGAGACCTCTGTTAACAATCTCCCCAATTGTTGAAACTTCTCCCCTTCTTTCTGTAACCAATCCTTTCTTTGTTGAAGAACCATCAGCAAAGATTACAGCCCCATTCCAGGAGGCAGAAATTTTGCCCATATTTGGACTTCTTTCGACCTTCTCCATCACTGACCTGGTATTTTTATGTGGGCACAATCTTCCATCAATCCATCCACTGCTTAGCCCTCTGGCCATCTAGCCAACACTGAATGTAACTTGTCAACTTACACCTATAGTAGTTTAATATCTACTTTCCCCACCTCTGTTATAGGTTAGACAGCTTGGAAGTTCCAGTTCAATGGACCTCAGTAAGAAGTTGAGTAAGAGAAACTCAGTTTCTTATTCGGGTGAGTGATTCACACCTAGAATGATTAGATCAAGACTATTCACACACACACAAAAAAAAATCAAAACAAACCAAGAGGGGAAAGCATAGAAATAAAAATAAATGTTGAAGACTTTCTTGCAAACTAATTTGCAAAATAAAAATAAGGAAACTATAATCAAATTCGGAGGTGAAAAAGGAGAAAAGGAGAAGAAAAGAATAGTAATAATAATGATAAGGAGCGAAAGGAGGAAAAAGGGAAATACTAGTCCCCGACAAGAAAGTGAACTAGCTCTGTCTCTGGCTGCCTCCCCCAAAACCCAACAATGCAGAAATCACAGAAACGAGATGGAGGAACTAATATAAAACTATGACTAAGCCCTGAGAAGACTAAAGCTGGGGTGAACTAACGACAAGTTAGTAGCAATCTGAAGTGGGGGAGGCAGATACCGAGGTGGGAAGAAAGGGAAATGGAGAGATTTTAAGTTCTGTTCACTCTTCCCTCCCACACACCCCAGGGAAGATGATGGGTGGCTCCTGCCACCAGAAGAAAGAAATCAGTGGCCAAAGCTTGCTGCTCAGGAATGGCAGAGTAATATCAGAGCTACGCAGAGCAGAGAGTCTAATAGAAACAAATGAAGGCTGACCAGATGCCCGGGGAACTTACTCTTCACCTCCTTCTCCTTCGAATCCTCATGGATGGCAGATGACCCTTTTCATGGATGTTCAGTGACCTCATGAATGGTGGCTGACCATTCTAAAGATCTGATCTTCTTTAAGTGCTGGCTTCCCCTCCTCCCACCAAAGAATTTAAAGAAAATCCCAGACTAGAGAAATTTCTCGGTTGAATAGCAGTTCAGGGGTACCTGAGGCTCTCCATCCTGGAGCTTATCCCCGTTCCTTCTTCGTAATCACAGGAGGGACAAAAACAGACCTTTGCTGTATCCCTTACACATTAGCAGACTGGGCAGCTGATAACCGCAAGGGAAACGAGATTACAAGCCAAAATCAGTAGAGACCTGAGGACTAAAACCACCATGAAATATATACAAGGATCTGAACCAATGCACAGGCAGATCAAGAGTGTAAAATAAGTATAATAAATATAACAAAGATATTCAAAATATATGAGAGAATAATGGTAACATGAAGAAGGAACCAGAAGCAGTAATAAAAAGAACCCTATGCCTCTTCTGATGGAAGAATAATTCATTCAGGACACCAAGAAAAAGTAGGCACAGTTTTTAAAAAATGTACTTAGGATATTGGAAAGAGAACAATGTAGTCAAGTAGCTGGCCTAGATCTTAGAGAAAATGGGAATCCAGAAGTGTGCTGCCCTAGGGGCATTTAATAATTCTGGACAAGGGAGCTGAGAGGCTGAGCAGGATTTTAGCTAATCTCAAAGGAATGGGGGGAAAAGTTAAGAGCCTAGGACTCATGTTGAGATGAGAACCCAAATAACTAGCATAGTAAGTTTGGGCTGCAAGTAGACCTGCTCTCACAGAGATTTCAGTCCAGCTGCAGGTCATCTCAGTTTCTGAAATTGGATTTTAAAAAATCCAGCTTGCTAGAATTTCCTAGAGCCTGGCATAAACAATGCAAGTCCTACTTAGAGATAGATAACACGTTCTCTAAGTCCTAGGTTTCAAATATGTAAATTAGAACTACTGCGAGAAATCACTATGAATCCACCAGAATATCTAAAATTAAAAGACTTACGATATTAAATGTGGGCAAGTATGTGAAACATTCAAACTCTCATATATCACTGGTGTTTAAAACAACTACTTTGGGAATATCTACTAAATCTGAAAATATACATCCAGAAGATATCTATATAACTATAAAGTATCCAGCTGTGTAATAAGAAAAATAAACATTTATTGAAGAAGATACAAGAAACATTGTACACAAGGCAAGGATGCATCAGTCCCCTTCAAAGTAGGCAGCTTGGGACCTCACACAGTTCTCCCAGCTTCTCTCCCACTGTTCAAAACACTCTGCAAAATCCTTTGTTGGAATAGCCATCACCTGCCCTGTTGTATTTTCCAGAATCTCATCCATGGTCTGAAATATATTCCCTTTCAAAGGTGGTTTTAGTTTTGGGAAAAGCCAGAAGTCACAGGGCATCAAATCTGAGCTGTAGGGGGGCTGAATCACCTGGGTGATTTGATATTTCGCCAAAAAAACTGCAGGAGACATGATGCATGAGCAGGTGCCTTGTGTTGAAGCTGCCAATCACCAGTTGCCCACAGCTGTGGCCATTTTCATTGTATTGTGTATTGCGTCTCTCAACTGACAAAGAACACTGAGGTAGTCCGTATTAATTGTTTGGCCTGGAGAGGCAGACTTGTGATGGACAACACCTTCCCAATTAAAAAACACAGTTAACATGGTCTTGATCTTGCTGTAGCTTTACCACACCTTCTTTGGGTGTGTAGAACCAGGAGACTTCTATTGGGATTACTTGGCCTTCATTTCTGGATCATAGCTGTAGACCCACCATTCATCTCTGGTTATGACCTTCTTGGGGAAATCTGGTTCACTGGTAGTGGTTTGAATCAAGTCATTAGCAACTTCAGCACGATGTTCCTTCTGCTCTGTTAGCAGAAGCTGGAGAACAAATTTTGCCATGACACGCTTCATGCCAAGATCCTGTGTCAAAATCTCGGACACAGTAGTTTTTGGAATTGCCCAAGCTTCTAGTTCTCACACAGTGAGTCGCCAGTCTTTGTTGATTGCAGCCTGTAAGTGTTCATTCTCAGGTGTTCTGCTTGTTGCAGGTCTTCCAGAATGTGGAGCACTTTCAAAAGATTCTCAACCAACTTTGAAGTGTTTGTGCCACACTTTTATTTGCGCTGCACTCATTGCATCATCTCCCAAAATGTTCTGAATCATTCCAATAGTTTCCACAGAGGAATGTTCAAGCTTAATGAGAAATTTGATGCAGATTGTTTGCTCTACTTGCTCAGGCACTTTGAATGCGAGGGCCACGCAGTACACATGCTCACTCAACAGCATCTACCACCCCCCACTGACTAGTACAGTGAAGTAAGTCATCATTGTTCACTCTTGCGCATTCCAGTCCACTCTTTCTGGTGGCCAGGTTACACTGATGTCTCACAAACCATCCTTCCAGACATACCTCGTATATTTAGTATACATATTCACAAAAAAATGTACAAGAATTTTCATAACAGCAATATCTGTAATAACCAAACATGGGAAACAACTAAAATGTACCTTTGCAATAGATGGATAAATAGACTGATATATTCACATAATGGAACAATATGCAGCAGTGAAAATGAGTAGCACTTTAAATAAAAAACTAGACCACGTGGTAAGACAGTAAGAAGCGGTTTTGTAAAACCTCGATTAATCATAATACCTGGAGTGTTTCTACCACTTGGCATCTTATGTTTATGGGCTCACCGCTCTTGTGTCCCTTAATGGATCGGGCAAATACAGAGGCAAATGGGAGGTCGCAGCCGTATCCTCGGGAGCTCATTGTCCAGATACACCTAATTATTAGGGCAAAGGGTAGTGTCAGCCCAGCAGCTGGGCACAGATCAAGGAATCCTGGCCACTGTCCTAGCGATGGCTACGCTGACATTCAGAGCGTCATTGCTCTTTCTTTCCCATGTGGCAGCTGATGTAGGATAAAGTGATCCGTAGGAGCGGTTGGTTTGAGGTACGTGCTCCCATTACTGGTGCCTCCTCTCTCGCGAGCCAGGTCTGCGGGGACACCCATGGCCCTACAGAGGCGCCCAGAGGAGGGATCTGGCCCTATAGAGGGGAGGAAGGGCCAGAGACCCCACAGGGTGACTGACAGTAGAGCCCTCTGCACACACACAGTCCACCACACCCTGTCTCACTCCCACCTCCTTTCCTTTCCTCCCTCTCGGGTGGCTGCGCTGTGCATCGGTGCCGCGAGAGGGGAGGAAGGGACTGGTCTTTAGATTCAAAGACCAGAAATAAATGTCCCCTGATGATTTCATGTCATTTTTCTGGATTCAAAGGAGGGGTACAGTGGTGAAGACAGACATAGAGGGGCAACGAGAGACGGCCTTATTCGGGGGTCTGTCGGAAGAACACCGAGGCGGTTCTCTGCCGCCGGGATGCGGGCTCCAGGTGGGCGGGCCGACGCCCCCCAGCCCCGCAGCGCCGCGGGCCCCGCATGACATCAGAGGCTGGGGAGCGCGCAGAGCGCAGGCGCCGGCGGAGGAGTGAGGCGGGAGGGGGCCGAGTCGCACGGCTCGGGAGAGCGCCCCTCCGCCCCGCTCCGCTCGCGCCTCACTGTCCGCGCCGCGCCTCGGGCAGCCAGAGCGCCCCCTTCGCACCGCAGCGCGCGCCGCCCGCCGAAGCCCAACCCAGCCTTCCTCCTCCTCCCCTTCCTCCTCCTCCTCCGCCGTCGCCGCCGGACACGCAGCCGCAGGCCGGGGCCGGGACGCAGCTGGGGAGGCAGGGACGCGCGCAGCCAGCCCTTCCCCCTCCGGCTCCCGCACCGCCGGCCGCCTCCCCTCGCCCTCCTCCTCTCCCCTCCCTGCTCCTTCGCTTCTCCTCCTCCGCCTCTCCCGGCCCCGGCTGCCAGCACCATGTCCGCAGGGGGAGATTTTGGGAACCCGCTGAGAAAATTCAAGTTGGTGTTCTTGGGGGAGCAGAGCGGTAAGTACCGTGCTTATTCAGTTGGCTTGGCGCCGAGTCGACCCCCGACGCCAAATCATCCACCCCTTTGGGACCCACGGCCCCAGCTCGGAAAGGCCCCTCCAAGCTCGGGTACAGGGGAAGGATAGGCAGGTGGAGGTCGGGACCGGCTCGGGCGGAGCCGGGCAGGGGAGGGGCCAAGGATAGAGACCGAAAAAGCGCTGGGACCAGAGATGGGGGAGACGATGGGATCTGGGGTGGGAACTGGGGTGTCTAGGGTTGCGGGTGCGGGCGCGGGTGCAGGTGCGGCGCGTCGGGAGGCCGGAGGGCGGCGGCTCGCCTCGCGGCGCCGGCCAAAGCGTGAGGCGTCGGGCTCGCTGGCTCGCTCGCATTGCGGCACTGGCTGCGGGCGCCCGGGCAGGTGGCGGGGGTCTGGGGGAGGACAGACGCCCCTCTAAGAGGAACGAGGTGGGTCTGGCATCCCCCACCCCAATGCACTGGAGGGGCTCCCTGAGGACCCTTACAGCAACCATGCGTGATTTCGGGCGTCCAAGCCCTGGGGCAAAGGGCCTGGGGGGCAAGACCGACACCTGCTTCCTTTCGAAGGGGCGAGTCCGGGCAGTGGGGGCACCTACTTCTCCTGGTTTATGTCCCCTGGCTACTTCCCTGGGCACAGAAGGTTCTAGACCCGCTTCTCTTCACCGGCATGTGTTAGCCTCTTTGGGGTCCGGGGTCTGGGCGATGACAGACAGCAAGGATTCCCCAATGGGAAGCAGATTGGGGGGATGGTATAGGGGTGCCTCGCACCCAGAGGCCACGGTGAAGACTGGCGCTGGACAGAGAAAGGACCAGGCGACACGCCCTGCCTAGCTTCCCTGCACCCCTCACGAGACCGCTGGCAGCGGATTCTTCCCACCCCCACCTCCCAGCTCCCCGCCCTTCTTGGGGGAGGGGAGGTCACCGTGGCAGCCAGCCAGGGGCGCGGGAGTGGGGGAGAGAACCGGCTTCCCGCCGCCAGCAGCCTCCGCTGGGAAAAGCATCTTTGAAACCCAGGTTGGTCCCAAGGTGGGAAGACCAGACTGAAGAGCCTGGACCCCTGTGACACCTGTAGGAAGAAGACATCCCTCCCGAGGCCTCTCACCCTGGAGCTGCAGGCCCGCCTGCTCTGCTCAGGGAGAAGGCAGTTCCTGGGCGCTGGACTTTCAGCTCTAGCTCTTCAGACCAGCCCAGTTCACCTGGTTTGGTGCCTTTCTGTGCAAGGGGCCAGGACTCAGGCAACCCTGGGAGAACCTGGTGGGCTCAGGGAACGGTAACTGGTGTGTGTCGGTGTGGGTTGTGGAGCACATCGCAGTCTGCTGTCTGCTGCTGCCCATTATCTGGGACAGATGGTAAAGAGGAGGGTATCAGAGAGTGGTCAGGCTCTATCATGGGGATAGGGCATTTCAGAACAAGGGCAGCTCAGCCAGCCAGACCTGTGTCCTGGACTCTGAGTTCTGATTTTAACAGATTCCAGTGTCAGAGCTCACTCTAAACCCCCCTCACCTCCCCCACTCCCCCACCCCCGCCTGCCTGTGCCAGGGCCTGAAGGTACTTCAGGGTCTTCACATTCCAGTAGTAGCCTTGCTGGGCCTGGAGCCTGGGCGAACTCTGCAGGGATCAGGCAGCCTAGGAGCTGAATTCCTAGTTGCAACTCCAAGCACAGACTTTGAGGCCTCACTGAGTTTCAGTTTCTGTCTCTGAAATGATTACTTGAGGGCAGTCCTTTTACTCCTTCATGTTTCCCTAGTGCCTCTCACAGGCCCTGGACCCTGACAGATTCTCAACAAACACTTGTTTATTCCAAGTCTGAATATGTTTTAGTAAAGGGCCAGGGCTTTGATGAGGAGAATATCTCTGGTGAGTTTGAATGAAAACTCAGGGCTCTCTCAGTATTCTCAATGGACTGAGGGCCCTGCTGAGTGTTGCAAATCCCCTTAGCTCCTAAAATCACAGAAAGGAGAGCTTAGGCCTCAGAGATGGAGCCTCTACCTCCCCGGCATGTTTAGGTGGGACATCTGAGCCCCAGGGAAGGGGAAGGGGAAGGCTTGCCCAGAGTCCCATTGTGAGTTTTTAACACGTCTGGGGCTGAAACCCACATCTCCTGTTCCCAGTCACTAATGCGCCCTTGGGAAATATAATAAAATGACCTTGAATTGAGGAAGCCCAGAACTGAGGAGCCTTCCTGAGAGAGGGTGATGGTTGCCACTGTCTGGCTGGGCTTGGGGCTGGGTTGGGTGACCTGGTGGGAATGCACGGTTAGTTGATTGGGGACAGGGTTTGTGGGTCCTTAGAACATGGTCATTGGGGATGTAAGTCTCTGCTATCTGTGAGATTGGTAATCGGTCATTCTGGGCCTTCCCAGCAGGGAGCCCTAGGCTCTGGAAAGCCTCCTCCTACTCGGGTGTCATCAGTGGGTTACCTTAGATTTCACAAAGCTTTCAGGGTCCCTGAGTTTGGCAGGGGACATGTGCATCTCTGAGTCAGGTGGGACTGGGGAATGGCCAAAGCAGCCTCCACTGTGGAAGGGGACCCTGAGCCCTGGCCCTTAGTTCCACCCTGGGTCTCCCTCCTGTGTGACCTCAGAGGATCCCTCACCTTCTGCACACAGGAGACTTGGGCTTGCTGAGCTGGACGGAGCTTTCTCGAGCAGCTGGGCTTGCCTGTGTGAGCTGAGTCCACTGGGAAGGGGCCAGAAGAGGGGGCTGGCAGGATGTGGCCTACTCTTGCTTCCTGTGCCTGGCAAGTGGGCGAGGATGGCTCGATTCTGAAAAGGAGTGTCCAGCCTGGTGACGAGGAGAGGCATCAGGCCTTCGAAGATGCTGAGGGCCTGGTTTGAGTGGGAAGCCCTTGAAGAGCCTCTCAGGAGAGAACGCCTCCAGCCCGTAGAGAGCCCCCGCTCCTGGCAGCAGAATGACTGCTGTCCCCTGAACCATGGGTACAGGCAGGCTGTCGGCGTCAGCCTGGCAGTGGGTAGGTTTGTGGGGATGAAGGATTTCCTTGCAATAGGAATGCTCTGCAGTTCTGCTGGTGCTTCAGTGGCTCTCTGGGCCTGCCTGTCACGCCCTTGTGCTGATGGCAGTGGTGGGGGACAGTGGTGGCGATACACAGCAGTTCCGACTGGGGCGCGTGGTGGCATCCTTAGACGAGAGGCACCAGCAGGTGTCTGAGGAAGAAGAGTGGGTCTGTGGGACGCGTGTCTTTCTCCTAAGTTCTGCTGGCATTCTGAGGGGGGTTAGGCGCATCTCCGCTCGTGTGGGGAGGAAGGGGGATTGGACGTGTTGGCTGCGCTCCGGCCTCCTCTGACCTTCTTTCCCTGAGATGCCTCCCGCCTGAGCAGGAAGGTGGATGGACACAAGTTCAGGCCCCTTTCTCACACTGAGGCCAGCAGGCTAGCCCCTCCCTCTGACCAGCCCCCTCCCTCTCCTGCCCCAGCCATTTGTGCCACCACAGGTGCCATCCACATTGAGCACAACGTGAATGGTGTCCCTGGAGTTGTGCAGCACGGTGACCCTGTGTGCAGCTGCCACTTGCTCCTTTAGTCATATGTTCACTCGCCCCTCTCTCCATCCCTCACCTTCCTCTCTCTCCCTTCCTCCTTCCATCATCCATTTATTTAAGCAGATCTTTGGGTGTTTCCCTGCCTCATGGAACTTACAGTCCACTGGGGAGTACAGACATTTGTGGGTATAATTACAATAAAGGTCTGTGAGAGCCACGACAGCTGCTCTGGAAGCACGTAGCAGAGGAGGAGGTGCTTCTGTAGGCAGCCGGGCTGGTACGCCTTTGGGCCGAGTGCAGGGAGTCGGTCCTGCAAGGGCCCCGCCCTCTCCAGGGGGCTTTGTTCTTCTCCCTGCTCCGGAGGAAATGTGTGGGGTGGACTGGGGTGGACTGGAAGGACTCTCAGGTGCCTGGCGTGCTGTTAGTGCCTGGGAGGGGCTTCTCCTCCACTTTCCTCCCATTCCCCTGGGGTAGGGAGCTTTGACTGCCTTCCCCCATCCCTGCTGTCTGGAGGGCGCACCCTCCCCAGCCCATGACCTGCCTAACCCCGGCTGCTGCCCTCCCACTGCCCACACCACCCGCACAGGGAGCCTTTGCTGGCCTGGTGATGGTGCCTGAAGCCCATAGCAGGGCTTTTCTCTCCCCGCCACGCCCCGGACTGGCTGGCTGGCTGTGCTGCGCCCAGCCCACAGGGGCACTCAGTGTGTTCGTTTTATCCCGAGCATTTTAAAGAAACAGTCGCATTCTGCTTCGTGACCTCTCTGTTGTCTCCTGTACTCAGGATTTAAAAAAAAAAAGTTTATTAACTGTTTTCCTAAGTACAGAAAACCTAATTGAATTTTAAGCCCCTTAAAGGCAAAGTTCAGAACCAAAAGAGGACTGGGGCTCAGTCATCAGTCCCTCTCCCCATCTCCAGGAGGTTTGTGCTGATTAATGATCTCAATTTGAAAATGATGAGATTATCCTGTTGCTTGAGATTTGCTGATGGCCCATCAATAGATTAATAGTGAAGGAAGTCAAGGCAGATATGAAATAGGATTCTTCATCCTGACACCTGCTGCTTTCTCAAGCAGAAGATCTTTACTAGCAACACTTAAGAATCTTTCACAGACACGTAAATCATTTAGTCTTGGTCATGCCAGTCTCACAGTTCATATTCTCAGGCCCCCCTGCCCCTATTGCCACCACCGTCTCTGAAGATGGATGAGAAGGCAGTAAGGCCACCAGAGGTGGGAAGTAAGGGACACATCCAAACCCACCATCAACAGAGCTCCCTGTGAGGTCTGGGATAAGTCACCCATTTGTCCTGCGCCTTAGCTTCCTGGCCTCGCTTTCTCTCCTCCCAATTTCTCTCCCATCCTCAGAGTCAGGAATGAGAGCAGGAGCCTTAGATGTGGGATACAGACCCAGAACCATTGCTTCATTTGCTTAGAAAGGTGTGTATGAGGTAAGAAAGTTAGACACTGAAATGAGAAGTCACCTGT